GACCATGGACACTTTGCCAGTGGAGGCTTATTTCCGCGCTGCTCTGCTCATGGTAGGTATGCCCTTTAATCCGTTACCTTTTACAGATTTAAAAACAAAACTTTTAGGAAACATTTTTAGGCATTATACTTGAGTACAATATTGACATACTTGTACTTTACTTGTATTCACAGTTTATGCTACATGATTGGTCAGTGATTAAAAAGAAAATTCTTATTTTAGTCCATAAAGTCTTATTTTTCTTCAACAATAAAACCAACTCTGACTAAGAATATCCCAACTTGGTTTCAATGCATATGAACTTGTATCAATTATTTTCTATAATATCATAATTGTAGTTCAGCAACCTGCCTTATATTTTAACAAAATAATAACATCCTTACTGTAATCACACCTTTAATGGTTTTATATATATAATAAAATGCCATAAAACCATTTTTTCAGCATAACAAGTACTTTCAGTTTAATACTTTGAACTCATTTTGCTGATTTTTTATTTTTTTTGTATTTTACTAAAATAATATTTTGAATGTGGTGTGTGGTATTACTAATTTTACTTTAATAAAGGCTCTGAATATTTCTTCCACCATTGATTATTTTAAATGTGTATTTCCTCAGGTTTGCTGTGTACTGGTGCAATCTGAGCCCAGCTGTGATCAAACAGAGTTCTTACACCCTAACGGCACTTGTGTTGCATGCTCTGTATGTGGGCCAGGAGAAGAGCTCTCTGAGGTAACACGCACAACACATTACAGTGTCAGCACCATTTTTCCCTCTTTAACTTTCTTTCCTTTGCCAGTATTGCTACTTGGCTCCAAGTCTATTTTGTTTATAATTCTCAGGACTGTGGTTTTGGAGATGGTGGTGAAGGTGTCTGTATTCTGTGTGAAGAAGGGAAGTTCAGTGCAGATACAAGTGTAGCTCCCTGCATACGATGCACCCAGTGCAAGCTGCTGAACCGTCTGGAGAAGACAGCATGCTCACCCATCAGTGATGCCCAGTGTGGGCAGTGCCTCCCACGGTGAGTTACACCTACAAAACCAGGCTACAATTACCTGATAAGTGCTAGCATTTTGGATTTTTTTTTTTTGTTTTTTTGTTGAGTGTAAGAATGTGATTGTGTGTACAGGTATTATGAACTCAGGAGCATGACTGGGGAAGTGGAGCTGGCCTGTGTGCCTTGTTACAACCATGACACAGCACATAAAGAGTGTTTGTTTTTGACAGCTCAAAGCTCCAAAGGAGGTAAGATTTAAGGATGTTAATAAGCTTCTATAAATAGTTTTATTGAACGGTGATTTTCCAGAGATGTTTTCAAGGAAAAGATATAGGCCTAACTCTTATTCTCTGACAGAGAGTGCCTTTACTGTAGCCGGGGGAAATATCAAAGAAGCCGAAGAGAGTAAACCTGTGGATTTTCACAAACAACTTTTTCATTTTAACTCCTGTATTCAATTTGACTTGGCTGACTTTCTTTTTAATCAAGGAGTAGAAGAAGAAACATTTTCAATAGTCCTGATTGGTTCTGCAACAGCCTCCTTGGTTTTCCTCATTGCCCTACTGCTTTGGGCTTTCCTTCTGACTGCTGAGAGATTCAGTGAGTTAGACACATAATGATAAACATTTCTGCTTTTTCTCCTTATCTTTCTTTTGTTAGCTTGGCTAAATTTATACGTTGTTTTATTGTCCAGAGCGGGTTCCTGAGTACTGTCCTGGCCCTGAAGGACTACTGTCTGCAGAAGACCTTCAGTACCCCCCTTTGTCCAACCCCACAGAGAGACCAGCCAAACAATCAGAGGCCCCTTCACAGACACTTTCAGCTCAAGAACCCCTCAGGTGATTTGCAAATACAACCTACTATTTGATTACTCCTCTATCAGTTCCCGTATCTAATTGCTTCCTCTCTACCCAGAGGCCTAAACCCACTGAGCCATGAGAATGAGGTGCATCCTACTTCTATTGTGATTAATGTCACCACCAACATTAAGTCCTCCAGTCAGAAAGAGGAGACCATCACACAGGATGAACAGCAAAGCAGCTGTTATTCCATGGAGGAGGTAAAGTGGTTTAATGTATCATGTTAGAGGCTTGACCGACAAGGTCAGAGTTGGGGTTACAGTTACAAACTGCTTTCAGTATAATTGTTCCCTAAATTAAATTTACTGTTGTTGATAAAAACTCACTAGAGAATTTTAGTTTGACAGTACTTTATTAATAATGTTGGTTTCAGTTAATGTGTCAGTTTGTCAGCACACAAACCAACAAGAACTCACCCAAATCTGAAAATAAAATAAAAATCCCAATAACCCATTGTGATATCTAGCCATGTTTTGGTTTTATTTGTTGAGGTTTTGATTTTCACTACTGATACTCATACCATCACCTCAGGTACAAGTGAGGTGAATGGAATTTCATTTGTGGTGAACAAAGCATGGAAAAATTATATCCCAAAAGCTTAAAAGCAATGATCCTTCCCAGAAGCAATGTCTCAGATTATCCACAGACCTCACTGTGAATAGTTTTCATGATGGCCATTGCCTCTGTTTTTTCTTCCATTTGTTCAAAAGGGAAACTATTTTAATGCTAACGGCTTGGGTTTAGTGTTACAATGTGTAACCAGACCAGGACTCCTGAACATCTAAGTCACAATTCTGGTTGGCGTGATATACTAAAGAGTAGGACATGAAAATCAAACACAGTATAGTGACAAGCTGATTAAAATATTGATAAAAACACTGAATGTGCCAATCAGGACATTAACTGTGAGTTAACTATTGTTTTTCAGATGCGTATTTTGAGATTCACTGATTCTTTTCTGAATCTAAAATTTGTCAAAAATAATGGCAAATGCCCTTCACAAGTAACAACAGCCCATGGATACAGCAGGTTTTTGATTTGCTGACAAACCATAAAATTATGTTAATGGGAGAAAACCAAGCATTTGGTCTCTTCACATTTTGAAAGCTTTAACAAGAAAATACTATTTTACCTGATAAATTATGTCATTTCTTGTCACTGATATAAGTTTAATAAATTAAGTCCACTTTGATACTAATACCCATTTTATATCAATTTGCTCCTGTAAGAATGATGTTCTGAATCAATCAGTAAAAACCTGTTTCTTACCCTTCTTTTCTATGACAATATCAGATGGAGCAAAAACTTCAGACGATATGGGAGATGGCTCAAGGTATGTGTGTTTTCCTTTAGCCAAAGTAAGTAAGAAGTCCATTATTTTCAAAGATACAGGTCCATACTATATCTTTTTGGCCTGTGGCCTCCTAGCAGATCTATGGATGAGTTTAGTTGTTGGCACTCATTTCTAAAGTTGATGTACCTTTACTGTTCTGACTCTGTCCAGGTCAGAGTATTGAGATACTCGACTATGACTCCGTCCAGGACTTGTCCCTGCTGCTTGACTCTGCTGACAACAGGAACATTTTGAGGAGACTGGGGCGGTCTTTGGGTGTCCCACCTCAGGTCATCGCTCATCTTCAAGGCTTCCAGGACCTCTTTCAGTACCTGCGTACCTCCACCTACACACTGCTTCCCCAGCTGGCCCAGGCTGCTGCGCTCTTGCCTAATCCTGAAGTTGTTGTTAGGATACACAGGGCTGTTATGAACAAGTGACCAAATTGTTGCCAGGTGGATCACTCGACACAAAGACATTCTCACTATAATGAATTAATTTTGAGTGAAATAAAGTACTACATGTGACTAAAGAACTGACATTTTTCATGTTTTTTTTTTTTTTACTTTATTGTCCATTGTTGTACTTTTTGTTATATGGATATTTTTAGCAAGTTCCATCTGAATAAATACATGATTACAATAGATGCCACATAACTGATTCAGTTGAATAATGTGAAGAAGTGATTATTTGTGCTCTGTGTGTTAAATAACACAATATCCAGGTCATTGCAACTGAACCCTACATGCAGTATTATTTCCTGTTTACCATGTAAAATAGATGAGAGGCCCTCTAGCTAAAGCATGTGAGAGAGACCAGGACAGAGGATGCAGTGTTCCTGGAAAGAGAAAGAACATAGAGCCCTGAGAAAATATGTTATTCTCTCACTGGGAGAAGTTTGCCAACTGACAAGTTTCCTTGATCCCTAGCTCTGCCGATTCTTCAGCAAAGTCAATCTGGTAAGGTTTAAATTTTTCACTTTTAACAATCACTATTTTCAAAAGCCATCTCAAACCGAATGATGAACAAATGTTCAGTAAAGTTTACTGTCTTGTTTAAGACCTTTCTTCCTTCAACAACGTTCTGATTCTCAGAAGCCAAATGAAAAATATTTTATACAATAAAAATAATATGTTTGTTAATCTACCTCACCGTTGTTTCATGAAAGTGCCATGTCTGTGTTATTAATTAGCTCCTCAACTTAATTGCTGGTGTTGTCCGAATCTTTTATGGATAAACTTTCGATTTATTAGCACGCAACAATTGCCAGATAAACACAGGAGGGCGCTCTCGCATGTTTTAGCAAACAGTCAACCCGTTAGATCGTCTAATATAAAGATGAACCACTAGGCCTACTAGTCACATTTAAAGGCACACCTTCCAGTTTGCACAACTTTTCGGCTATGATTAAAATCCTCAAACAAACAGAAGTAGTCTGCAAAATGCCATCGTCTCTCCTATGCAATTCAGTTTTCTTGGAAGTGGAATTCGTTCAGATGTCGAACTCCATATGTTTTTTTACTGTAGCCACTTGAGCTCATAAAAACGTACTTGTATTGTTGCATTTGTTCTAAACAAACTAAAACTCGTTTCGTCTGTTGACCTAATTTCAAAGTTGAAATTGATGTAACATAAAAAAAACATTTTTATTCTGTAATTGAATTATGTGGAATTGCGTGCGTGCTTAATGTAAGATAACTGAAGCTGACCTCAAAGCTTTCAAACACAGCAGCAGCTTTTTGATTGATCTGTTCCTCCGCGCTTTGTGCAACGGTTACCGGAAACGGGTCCGAGTGAGACCTCTTCAACTCAGCCCCTCTCTTTGATGTCCACGTCCCCGTGGTGTCCGTGTCCTGCCGGCTGCGATGTGTTACGCGCCTCAGCTTTAGAAAAAAAAAAAACAGAGAAGGAAAACTTCATAGAAATGGCGGAGGGTACTACGACTCTCAAAGGCTTGCGAGCCCAAATGGGTAAGAACTATGTTGGCAGTCGTGGTTATTTTTGTCCCAGTTGTGTCTTACAATGTAGTAATGACTTTGTAATGTTTGCTTGCAACTACCGCCTCTAAGTCTAACCGGGTTGTTTGAACGCGGCCAGCTTCTCTGGCTAGTAACGTTAGCTCGCTCTCCGGTTATCTGCTGACAATGGATGCGGAAAGAAATCTGCAACTTCTTCCCGCATTAAACGTTTTTAAGTTTGATTAAATTTACCCAGCCATATTGATACATTTTGAGTACAGCTAAACCAGTTTGTTTAACTTAGCCTACTAAAAGACAAGTACTTGCAGTTAACGTTAGCGAAAGTTGTAACGTTAACGTTATATTTTGTAGCCTGAGAGCCGGGTTGACATATCACGACTTGTCTGGCGCCTAGCTCACCTAGCTTTGCTTTAGCTCTGCTATACCGCATTTAATCACGTTGTCCAACAAAGTGCTGTTGAGTGAATTTAGTAGACTAGCTAGACAAACACGGCATGCTTGGTAAACCAAGCTAACTGCTTTTGTAACTGACACTCTCCACTAGCTTAGGTAACGTTGCTCATCACTTGGGGATTATTGTCAAAAGTGATCATCGGCTATCCCTATCAGGAAGAGTTCAGAAGGCGTATTGCTGCACTGTTCATGCCTTTTGCGATCTGAGTTGATGCCCGCAGTAGAAACCAACAGACAACTTGTTTTTTCTAGCCACATATCAGCCGGTTCACAGAACATCAGCAGTTTTCTAGCTTTCTGTTCAAAACTCCTCGTATCTTAAACAGAGTAATAGTTTCTCTCCCATATTCATTGGTCGACAGTTATGCTTATTTGTTGACATATGGCATACCCCCCACCACTTTCCAGGGAGGATAACTAACAATGTCTGACCTGAATTTGAGCTATAGCTGGAGTGTCCGACTCTGAGCTCTGAAGGCTACATGGTTGCTCTTCTCGAAAGATCTTAATGAAGTGATAAAAGAGTTTTGGTTGGATGAACAGCTATGTGCCAGAAACACTTCTGTTAAGCAAAAGGCACATTGCTTTTTTGTAAATAGTATTATGTAGTCCAACTGCAGCAGCAAAGTCTCGTAACAATGCTTCTCATCCATGCCTCAGCTAGCCCCTTTCAGGCTTGGACGTGGATGTTTACTGTGTCTGCATCTGTGGGCATGAATGCACAGTTTGTTATGAATTGAGCTGCAGTTGGGCAGACAGTTTCTTTTAGTGTTTCAGACTAAGAGGGAGTTTTCTGCATACCCACCGTGGGTGTAGGCATGTTTTACTCCTGGCAACAACTGGGCTAGAACTGATCGTCATCCTGTTTCCCTGAACATTTCCATTCAGTATTTTCAATCTGGAATTTACAGCCACTTAATTCTGTGACTTTCTGAAAATATTTGCAAAGTTTAGAACGATGTGAGATGTTTGATTGGCTTTGTGAAGATGTCAGTTTGCTCGGCCTTCAGTCAGAGCAGAAGACTGACAATAACAAAATAATGTTAGGAATCTAGCTCAAGTGCATGATCATTTCCACAAGAATGTGAGCAAGGAGAAAATGTACCCTGCTATTATACAGGGAGATCACGCTACTGCAAGTCACACTGCAAGGTTATCCTGATCCTGGCTCAGCAATTGCTGCTGCAGAATTAAAAGCATGAGAAGTATTTCTGAGCTGGTCAGATTTAACCAGAGGAGGAAATGGACCAGCCTCAATTTCAGTGTGTAAATTCTGGAATCTGTCCTCTTCGAGTCAAATACCCCATCCCTGTCTTACTTTTTACGCAGCCGATATGATGTATTACAGTATAAGTGTGTCACCCACATTCACACTGAAGATTTGAATAGCAAAACATGTCAATTTGTGTAGGCTATAACTAAGGTCAAGCTATCATTAGAATAGTTTTGTCCATAAGGCATCAGTTGATATGTTTATGTATCTTAAATATATTTATGTAAATAAGTTTCTTTTTGGATTTTTCTTACTTAAAAGCATCCCTGCTTGCCATGTCTAGATATTTGAGAGGATTTTGGGGATATTTAATTCCCATTTAGGCCCAGATTTTTCAATTCTTAAGAGTTGTTTTCTTGTAATCATGATTGTGAACAACCAGACAACACTGGGAAGCACATTGTCTGTGAGGCACAAGTTTGGTTTAATGTGGTATTTGACAGCAAAAAATATCATATGCGTGAATTAGGGGTGTAACAGACGAAACAACACAGTATTCATCACAAATTGTTGGAACAGGGTGTTTGGTTCGGTATTTTTTAGGATATGTGTGCAGTGTCTGCCATTTTCATAAACAGTGTTGAGATTTTTTTTTCTTAATAGAGATTAAGCAATTGAGTGCTAACATCGTTCCATAACAGCCACACTGACCAGCCTTCAGATGTGTCTGGAGACATTTTTGTTTATCTGCCTTGTGAGTGCAGGAATCGGCTAATGCCGATTATCTCAAAATGCTAGATATTGGCCCAATAAATCGGCCGACCAATTATTCTGTTTATCTTTTGAATTGATTATGGATTTGGATACAGTCAGGTCCTTTCAATGACCACCTCCACAAGATAACATGGGTCACCTGGAAGAGGAGACTCCCTAGGAAGCTGGGATGTGTCATCATTATCCTGCCAGTACTGCAAATAGCCATGGCTTACCTTTGCATGAATAGGTCTCGAGTAATCCCATAGAAGATCTGGTGTGTTTGTGCGTGCGTTTGTGTGCGCACGTGTGTGAGCATGCATCAGCAGTGTTATCTGAGGACCTGAAATCTTGAGCCAGCAATTGGAAGCTCTGCCAAAGATGGCCAAGAATTTTAATGTTTTTATTGCAGCTATAAGTACTATACAAGGTGAGTTAAAGGAAGTATTTACTGGTTCATGTTGTTTTGGTCTGTGAATTAACCTGTTATAGTATTTGGTTGGAGTTAAATATCCCTACGTACTTTTAAAGGCTCAGTGGCGAAGGGTTGTCCACTCTTGCTTTAAGCAGTGCACAGCAGACGCTTCCTGTGCAACAAGCTACTTAATTGTACCATGCAGCAGGACACAGTAAAAGCTCAAACTGGAAGGAGAGACAGACAAGAGCCTTAACCCGCTCCTCTTTCCCCACTATACCAATACTGGCTAAAGATGTATCCAGAGATCTAGCTTGTTATTTAGAGAACTAGCATTTTATCAGCATTAGGGTTAGGCTTTCGACTAGAAGTGTTGATGTAATGTATGCTGGCCTGTTTCCTGTTTCCTGCCGGTCATCACCAACCCCCCTGGTGGTCTTTACTGCTGCCATAATAACTCAGCAGCCGGAAGGTGGGACTACATCTAATCAATATGTATATGTTTTGCACTAAGAATGTTATTCCACGCTACCTAAAACTGCTGGATGTGGCTGTAATGAGTATCACAATAGCTGTACCAATATATATTCAATATGTCACCTATACCGGATTAATCACAAGCAAAATACATCCCTTTAAACTTCATAATCACCTTTATTGATGACCACATGATGACTGAGTGGAAGTTGTCTGGACCTTCCACTGCAGACTGGATCTTTAGCTCAAATGTTGCTCAATACAGCAACCTACACTTACCTGAACAAGTGGTTATCTAGCTCACGCAATACTATTGATCAGTCTGGAGTATAATTACTGGTGGTGGTGTTCCTCAAACATATTAAAGCGCTTACCTGAGTCTGTTGGTGCAGCAGCGATGATGTATAATGTGTGCAAATCTCTATAGCGATGGCGTGATGAGAGACAGCTCCTCTGATTGGCTCTCTTCATTTCTATGTGCGCACCTGGCTCTCTTGAGGTCTGTTGGGGAAAACAGGATCCCCCCCAACCCACTCCCAATCTCATTTAAGCACTTTAATCAACATATGAATGTGTGTGTCAGTGGAGTGAAGTTCTGATTCTGAATGGTCTTTGTCTTGTTTGTGACAGGAAGACTTATTAAACTGTGTATTACAGCCGATGATTTTGTGCATAAGCGATCTTGCGCCTAAAGAAATTCTGCGTGCTTTTAGCTTAACAGCTGTTACCTGCTCAGCCCCTTTGCTTTCCTGTCTGCTTTTACTTCCCTCTAAAGACCAGATAATGCAGTTTGCTTATGTCATTTAGCTTGTCTAAAGCCTGTTGTGTCATAGAAGTAGGGCATACTATTGAAACTTAATTTTTGGGCTCTGAACTAAATAGTTCACAGTAATTTGTACAAGTTAATACTGTTGATCAGCCCCTTCATAGATTCATACATCCTGGATCTACTGATATCAGCATAATGTTATTCACAAGGTGTCCCTTGTGTTGATAAATACACTGTATATTATTCAGCCCAAATGTGAAGCAATTGTTCCTTGTAAGCTGCCACTTAGACTGATGAGTAAACCTTCAAAGCTTTACCGCTCTGTTCTCTTTATTTAGCTATGAATCCTCTCATTTCAGAGTCCATGTCTTCCTTGATACAGGCCTAAGCATGACAGAGAAGCTCTGCATCCATCCCAAGCTGCTGTTTGTGTCTTAGCAACAGTTACCCTTTTATTTGAAGGCTGAGACATGATTCTGGGCTGGATTCAGAGGCAGGACATTTCAGGTTACATGATCTGCACAACCACCAAGATTCAATAGCTTAGCATCTTTTTACATGTTTTCTCCAAGAGATATACATGCAGACATTGGGTGTGATTCCTACATGCCCTAGAATCAGATTGTTTTTTCTGAATGTAGATCAGCTCCTTCAGTCCACCATGGTGCCTTGCCTGTTTTTCCTGTCTATTCTCATGAGTAAAAGAGAATGTCTGTGTTGACGAATCCATATGCTAACCTAGACTGTCTGTTAAACATACAGTTACAGTGATAAACTGCACGCAGCAAAGCATGTTAAATAAATACAGAATAAACTGTGTATAACTCTGAGGTTATGCATGTTTCTTTGCTTGCTTTGAGGTCAGTGTATTCATCGTGGTGTTGTATGATTCTCATCACATGATGGCACATTGGGGATTGATAAGAGTAATTATTAAGAGTAGTTAGTTACTCTAGTGTGTTGAAAAATATGTTAAAAGTGCAGTCATATCACATTTTTTCTTCACTTACCCGCCGTTTGGCCTACTAACCAGTGGCAGGGGTTAAAGACTGGAGTCAGAGCAAAAGCGAAGTGACCGTACACTTCACTGAGGGATTTAGCTGCAGACTTTGACCCTCATAAGCTTCTTTGACAGGAGAGCATTGATGCTGCTGCAGAATACAGATAGCAAGTTCATGACTACTTACCCTCAGCTCACTTTGCTCTGTCCAGCTCATGCCACTTCTAATATCTGGTTTGTAACAGCTACCTCAGGAGGATTGGTTTGTCGTAATCTTCTTAAATTGTCTATTCAGAAACCCTGTTATTATTGTTTCTTGTCTTTGGTTCAGGGATGCAAACAAATCATATGTGATTGTCAGCCGGGTGAACAAACATTGTCCCTTTCTGTAAGAAGGGCCCTTTGTCCTCTCTGCTTTCCAGAGAGTAGGTAGGTAGGTAGTGGAGTGTGTATTCAGTTTACCTACAGATATGACGTGCATGCGATGCTGTACTCTGAGAAATGATGATTGGGGCCTGTGGCGGGCACAGAAAGAATGTTTTCCAAGTCAGCACAGTAAAAGGTGTTGTAATGATGTCCAATAAGTGCCTTTATGCAACCATTCAAATTCACTGTGGTTGCTTCTGGTAAAAGCAAATGGCTATATCTTACATTGGTGGCAAATGTGTCTGCACTATCTATATCTGATTTTATATAAAGAAAAGCCTTCCAGTGATTCACTGGTTTGTATTAACTGCATCTTAATGACTTTTCTGATTAGGGGAGGAAGATACGACAATATTACATGGAGACAATGCAAACCTGTATACCGTCAGAGTTGTAACATGACATATTGATATTGTAAAATAAAAGCCACTCTTAATATGTATACTCACCTCTATTTCTGATACTACCTATGGCAAAGAACAGCAGATCTTAAAAGAGTGTGCGTGTTTTATGGTGGAAAGACAGGAATGTAGTACAAAACTCCAGGAGTACAGGCAACTTTGTTACACAGGTGCTTCTGAAGTACCAATAACTGAACAGTCTTTAAAAAATTAACCTCTTCTTGCTTGCACAATGGCACATGTTGAGCCAATGACAGTTTAGTTTAGTGCAATGATACAGCCTTCTTTAGGTGTAGAAAGACACTGTTTAGTCTTGCTCCCAAGCAGGACCATGAAATTGTCAGCACAGTTATCCCCTGCTTGGAAGGGCGCATATGATCACGACTCAACACACCATGTCATGAGCCAATGAAGATGGGGCATTTCGTATCTTATCTCCCTTGTGAAGGATTAGTGAGAAGCAGCACTATTGTGTTTTAAGTACATTTGTCAACGTTGGTTTGACTTGTCTGTGACACGAAATAAAACAAATCGATGGGGTTGTCAAGCAAATCTAATCTTTATATTTATTTTTCCACATGAAGGTATGTTATCCATGACCTAATCATGTTTGATGTTCTTCATCCAATTGATTCAGTAGATAAAGGAAGAAACTGGTGTTTTTGCCTGTTACAGTGCCATCACTATATTTGCATACATTACGGATAGTCATTTCCCAAAGCTAGTTACATTTGATTGATAATTGTGGGCTTCCTTCCAAGTAGTCATTGCTTTCATTGACTTTTTGCTTTAACCTTTTTTATTATTTATAATTTGAACTGTGATTATTACATTTTTTGTAGTTTTTTTTTTATATCCAGGATATATTTAATAAACGATTAAAGACTTTTGGAAGGAGGGACAGTAAAAAATTGTCTTTGGGCCATTAAGTTTCAAACCCACTGGCCCGGTGGGGCCAGTTGCAAAAGACTTTAACGTTGAGCCTTGAAAACATCTCAAGTTGGATAAACCAGTGCAAATGACGTGCATGTGGAAATTTGTCCTATATTAATTTTATTTTAAAAATTAATGGCAGTACTTGTGTTTGCAATGTTATGCACCACAGGCTATTTTAGCTGTATACCAGGAAACTCACATGGGTTTTATTCCATACATGTTTCACACAGCAGCCCCCCTACCCCGACCCCACCCCCCGAGCTTTTCACAGAAAGCAGTGTATGGCTAGCTGCAGGGTTTGACCATGAGCGGAGGGGTTATGTCAGATGGCTGAATAGCTGGATTGTTCTGTGGCTTCAAATCCATTGGATCTTTCTAGAAGTAGCAAATCCTATGGAGAACAAACAAAGCACAAAGAAAAACAGCTGATTTAAACTTGATTGGTTTTGGAGTACCCAAAGCATTTCTGTTTCCTTAATATTATTTGATATACCTGCTCTGTCAGACATGACTTGGTGTGACTCTAGTTCTCTGTGTATTTGTGTTTTCATATATACAGCTGCAGCTGCACAGGCACAAGCCGAGGAGCGGCGCAGCCTGGCAGGGAACAGTCCAGGACCTACAACCAGCACATCAGCTAAACCTCAGGGGTGTAGGCCAGGTAAATCACCACACCGTGACACAGAAACAGATTGGTTCTCACAGATACTCCCTGTCACTGCTCTATTGTCTTTCATAATCTGAACCATTAGATGCAACACAATCTACTTCCACCACATAGTGTGGCTTACTGCAGGTGAACCTTAGTCATCTTATTGTAATAGTTGACAAAGCTCATTAATGGCAGTCACATGCACACATCTGCCTGATTCACAAAGCCTTTATGCTGCAGTGTAATCCCCCTTTTGTTCTCTGAATATTGCATCGCTGCTGTGTATGTGTTTTTACCACATATATACATGTATGTGGTTGCAGTCATTGACGGTGCCGCGCTTAGAATAGACGACCGACTGCGGGTGGCAAAAGAGAGGCGAGAGGAGGCAGACAGACAACAGGGTAAGAGGGTGATCATAGTTTCTGTGTGGAATTATTTTAGCCAAAGCCAGCTTAAACCTCCCTGTGAAATTTACCATTACATGCATAGCAAAAACTGAATATATATTTCTTGTTAAAACAGAAAATCATTACATTTTAGAACCAAGAATTTTCCCAATTGCAGCAATTTCACTTAAGTAATTGATCATAAATATGATGAACATATATAGAGAAGTAATATAGAGAATAATAATAATATAAAGAAATTTTAAAACGTCCTTAATATTCTTTATTGGCTCTCTTATTAAAGGGGTTATTACTTGAAGTTCCCACGCATAAGAAGACACCATACTAACAAGTGACTTTTTCTCCCGCACACACTCACTGTCCGTGTACGCACGTAATGTATATGCGGTCAGCTTTGCGAGAGTCTCAGATCATGGAGCGGGAGCGCAAGGCCAAGCTGCAAGTAGAACGTCAGATGGAGGAGCGTCAGAAAAAGGTTGAGGAACAACGACGAAAGGAGGAGCAGAAACGATTGGCTGTGGAAGAGAAGAGGAAGCAGAAACAGGAAGAGGAAAAGGTACATGCCACATGGGGAGGAGTCTCGCCAGCCTCAGAGCAGTGCTTGTTGTTGCTCAGTTGATTTAACCTGTGACTAAAATAATTACATTTGCATAGAAACACAGTCTTATGTACCAGTTTTCCCTTTAATAGACATAAAAAAGAAGGTGTGGGTGAATAAGGTCATTGTTGAGGGAATAACAGCACAATTATCCATACACTGTATGTCACGTTTATGACCTCCTCAGGTTTTGTTCTCTGGTTCAGGCATGAATGTTGCTCTGCTGTAAATGACTTGCATTTTTCTCTTCCTCTGCCCCTGTTATGCTACAGGAGCACTACGAGGCAGTGATGCGGCGGACATTAGAGCGTAGTAATCGAGTGGATCAGAGGCAGAAAAGATGGTCCTGGGGAGGCCTGTCAGAATCAGATGGACGAACAGGTAGAGGCCCTTTCTTCGCCTTTAAAGTTCAACCTGTCCTTTTCTATTCAATTTGACTTTTGTCATTCACTTGCCATGGTGCATTAAAGAGCCAGTTAGGATACAACAAAAGCTGCTCGCCTCTTCAAAGCAAGATGTCAAAGGGGTCAGGTTCACAATGTGATCATGTTTCACTACAGTTGAGATTGTTTCTTTGCCAGCAACTGATGATAATGCCAGATGAGATGAGTTGAAGTGCTAGTGATAAATTCTGTCTGTTGACTCTTAGCTGTTGTCTGGTAAAAGTGCTCTCTGACTGGTATACACATGATACTCCTTGGAAGACATTTTCGATGACAACTATAATAACTCAGCCTTGTTAGCAGCTATTTGGGTATCAGTCAAGCATTAATGCATATCATATAATTTTTTAAAAGCTCCTCAACTTGATAACTCCTTATCTGAACCCCCAAGCAATGAAGAGGCCCCGTTTTCAGCCTGTGAAATTGGAGCACTTTCAACAATTTCATTTAGTGAAAGCATTTGTGCAAGCCCTGTTTTGTCATGCAGAAAAGCAAACTCATAAAATCCAATTTATTTACTGAGATCTGAAAAATTAACTGTGGTCTATCACACTACTATCTACTCACAACGCTACATGCATGGGATGTAACGTGACTCCTCTGTACAATCACTCCCACTGTTTGACATTCGGTTAATAAACCACAATTTTCTTCAGAAATCTGCTGAACATTTTGTTGTTGTACAAAATACATAGGTTGTTTAAATTACATCATTGTCGGGGTACGAACTGATGACTGTTGATTTGGTGGCAAAATTGTAAAACTTGTATGAAGGATGTGCCTCAGCAACTTGTTTTTTATTGCGCCTCCCTGAGAGCTGTTTTTTCCCACAGGAGACTCTGATGCCGGCTCCTCATCTCCAGTAACTATAGTTATTTCCTCTCCCTCGCCAGAAAAGCCACCAAGGAGTAGACAAGGTTTTGTTTGTTGATAATTTGCTCACCAATATAGTAACACAGCATGGACTCGGACTGGCACTGGCACTCTAGATAGCTTGGTTACCTACTATCCCTGCCAACTCCCTCACCTCTCCCCACCCAACCTGCAGTCTAACTGGCAGTTTTTCACTAACAGTTTGTTGTATGGGTTCTGTGTTCTGAATGTGCCTTGTGCTGGGTGAATAGCTGGTAAAGTGTAGCTGTAGGTTTTCCACTGTCACTTCAAGGTCACATGGGACACTTTGCATGGAAGCCCAATTGAATTACACACAAAAACAGGACTAATATCACTTTTGGATTCTCTGGCACGCCTCATGTAATGTTGTTGATGCTCTCCTCTTTTGGAGTGGTCGAACAAAAGCATACATTGTTTTAATCATTGTGCCTGGCTCTAAAACCACAACAACTTTGTTATGGTTTCTTAAACATGTATTTGTCATGTTAAACATGGTGATTCACCAGCAAATTCATACTGTATATCATGTGTTTTGCTAAATGTGCATCATTAAATGTGCACTGCATTAGTAGCACATTAGATCAGTGGATTTATGTGGTGTGTGTGTGTGTATATATATATATATATATATATATATATATATATATATATATATATATAAAAATAAATAAATAAAATAATTTCCTGTATTTCTATTTTAGATATATTAATGAAGCAACATATCACCCAGGGCATATTAGGGGTATTAGGATCTTGCAGAGCCTTGTACTCTCTTGTGTGCACCCAAATGCCCTTCCCCATTGGCCAACCTCTAGTATAATCCCCGCCTCCCTTGTGTGTCTTTCCTCCTCCCTCTCAGTGGACAAGCGCTCCACATCCACCATGAACCTGAAACAGCCGTCTGAGGCTGGCATCAGCAAACGCCTATCCTCTTCCTCTGCCACCCTCATCAAATCTCCTGACAAAAGTAAGTCTCCTCTCCCTCCCCTCTCCTCCTCATTTGCTCCTCCTTCCCCACCCCCCTCCAAACCACCCTGCTTTCCTGCGCTGTGTTTTAACCAAAGTAGAATGTTGAAGACGGTCTATTACCGCCGAGGTAAATGTTTTCCAGTGATGATCAGTGTACTGAGATCTACAAGGTGGCAAGGTGGTGTAGATTATCCGGAACAAACCCACTTTCTCCTCCAACTCTTAAGCCTAGAGAGTGAACTCTGACCCCTGTGCTCTCCTTATCCAGGGTTTTACACTCGAGCTCACTGGAGCACAGACAGACTGGTAAAAACTGCTTTAGCTCTCTGTCTCTGATTACAGCTAATGATAAATTAGCATGGCCTCCTGATTCTGCTGCATCCATCAACTATGCACCTTTATGAATCAGATTTTCAGAATCAGAAGGGGTCCCAAGCACCAAATTGTGATTTGTTAATAAATGTACTCGTAGTGGTATAGAAACCTGTCACAATATTCCTCAGCAAATTTTGATTCAGAAGAAGTATATTTGATTGCTGCAGAAAAAAATAATCAACGCAATCAGTTGATTCACATCTCTCCACAGCTTCTATGGGTTGCCAGTGCCATTTCTCCTCCTCCTTCTTTCTGATATTGCTGATTTGTCTATAACTCTCAAATTGTTTAATATTTATTCTTTTCCTTTTCCAGGCCTGTCAGTATATTCTAAAAAGTCTTAAGAGACGTTGTACCATTCACAAGAGAGTGCTGTGTATATTCACCAATGGGTGTTTCATCATTGTCTCTCAGGTGTTAGGCCGAGGAGTTCGTCTTGTAACCGGTTGCCTAGCAATGGCAATGCTGCTCAGGCCAGTAAGGAAGATGGCAAAAAGCTTCAGGTGGAAAAGACAGGTGCAAAAGATCCCCTTTCCATCCCACACTATGCTTCCATGAAAAAGGTGGCGTGCAGTACTGCCACAGGTTATAGAGACAATATTCAATAAGTTCCATTGTAAATTGAGCTCTTGTCACAGCTATGACAGCCACATAGCAAGCTGACTTTGTACACATTAATGGTTTAAATTATTAATGTTGTAGTCTGAATTAGTGGGGCATTAGGTAGATGAGGCAGTTACAACTCACTTCTGTGTTTTTAAGCATTGTCTATTAAACTTGGACATCAGCTGCTGTCTGCCTTAGCCTGGTGACTCACATAAGGCCAAAAGAAGTGCACATGACTTGTAAACTGTCTTTGGGGAGTCCTTGTTCACTCCTCCCCAGTGCCTGCTTGGCTATAACTCCACTTTCATGTCCGTAGGCTGTTCCATGAAGAAGAGAAGTTCCTCCCTCACACGAGTAAGTGTGGGCAGAGCACAGACCCCTGCCAAGCCTGATAAGGGGACAACGGATGATCAAGGTGGCTAGCATGAACAATCGGCATTCTTTTTTTTCATGCCACTACCTGCACTGCTGAGGCCTTCCTTTTTAAATAAAAAGCATGCAATTTTAACGGCTTGCACATTCTGAATTTGTTTGGTTTTTAAAAAACGCTTTCGGCTACTAAGAGCTTTTGGAGATAACATTCTCATTAGGCTCATTTCAGTCATCAGCTATATGGGTATTTTAAGTGGCCTACGCTTCTTTCTATGTATTCCTTCTTTCTCTCCATCTTCTCTTTCAGTTAAGCGTTGCTCACTGACTGCTGAATTACCCATAGGCAGCACTTTTGTTTGTCTGTGATTAACTGGGAACACTGTGCTCGTTCATGTATGCCTTAACCTTTCTGCTGTCTTAACCTACCAGATCCTGTACTGTGCCACATTTGTCAGTGACCACTGATCTTGTTTTAACTCTTTATTTTTTTTATTTTTATTTTTTGGAAGTGTCAACCCAGGAATGGTTTTGCTTTGTGTCATGTCTGCACTAACACAGTGTATTGTTTTGTTGTCACAAAGTGTTTATTGTTTTCTCCCTCCCAGATGACGTCATAGCTGGATTTAAATCGCTGGGCTCGTGCTTCGGTGTGGTGTGTGTCAGTGCCATCCCACCGTAGCACCCCCAGAGCACAGAAATGACCACACTGCTCTGTGTATTGTCATTAACCACCAGTGCTTTTGTTTGTCCTATAGCCACGTCAGCATCTTCGTGCAGATGAGTTGTAAAAATGCTCATGTTTGTTCTGTATGTTTAGCCTGTGCAATAATACAACACATCTACCATCATTCACACTGACTTAGTACTTATCACCTGCAAAGTTATTTAACCCCTATGCTTCCACACACCATCCTTTTTACAACTATAATCTTATCTCAGACTAATAACCCAGATTCTTAATACCAGGGTGCTGAGCAGTGAGCTATGCCGCCGTGCCCCAGGGGCTAGCGCTTAACAGCTAACAAAAAGGTCTGTCTGCAACACATGTCTTCTCAGTAAGGTGCTCTGAAGGGAAGTGTGATGCTGCACTCTGCTTTTGAAGAGGTAGCATTTAGGGACATGTGGTAAAATCAACCCGTCAACACCCTAACTCTTCTTCTGTTATAATTTCTACTTTTTAGCTTAGGTAGGAACGGCCTAAATGGGGAATTGTTCATTCTTCCATTTCATTGAAGCAGGAGTTCTTTGTTTCTGCTGTGAAATCATGGTCCACCATAGTGCTTTCATAAAATGCTGACTTGTTCAGTTCTGCCCATTGTAGTCAGCCTCCTTATTTTAATCAAATTCAGCTTCTTCATCTTAACTATAGAAAAGCTTGCACAGCAGAAGCTAAAGAACCCTTGCCTGGTCACAGTCACTTGCTCTATCATTTTTAGTCTTTGGTTTCTTTCACCTCTCATCTTCCTACCCAACAGTATTCCTCTGCTGTCTTTGAATTTCACTAATGGTTTGTTTTTTTCCATCAGCACACCTCCCTCTGCCTCAAGGAACCATTGATTTGACCCCATTGTCTACTTTAACTACTGTTTTAACTGATCTTCAGTTACCAGACAATCAGTCTTTGGTCTGTCCCAACACTCCTTCATGGCATCCTTTCCTTACTGACTTTTAATGACTATCCTCATTTTATTGTGTCACTGAAAGTTAACAGGATAAAGACAGTTAATAAGGAGCCCATGTAAGATTGTTGGGACTTAACCTTTGGTTGTTTAAGTTGATTCTCTTCTGTTGGTTAAATCAGATGGTGACCTTTCTAAACTTAATTGACCCCCCTCTACCTTCTTTGTTATGACTTCATTCCCCACTCTCATCCACTCTTTCCTTCTTGGCCTTTTTGCTCTCCTCTCTTTCGGGTGATTTTTCGGCCGTGTAGCTCGCAGGCCACCGGCCAGCACAGAGGACGGAGGGGTCCTTAGTCGTCTGCTCACCCCAACCCAGGCCTCACTAGCTAGGAGCAAGAGCGCCGCCGTCCTGTCAGCCCAAGGAACAAATGCTCCAGGTAACCTCCGCTTAGGAGACCCTGACAGGAGAGGAATGATGGCTAGACACAGAACCCCTGTCCTCCCTACTTACCCTCATTTTATCAGTAGAAAGTAAGCCCAGTTGCTCCCAGTATCACTTCACTAGATCTGAGCTCATCCCAGTGCCCTGCTGCAGACCCTCATGCTTTTTGGACAGTCCTTTCAAAGTGTCCATTGGCCTCTTAGTGGTGATGGAATTACAGATGTCACTGCACAGTTCCCTGTGTTTAAAAGCTATTGTTAACGATCAGCTGTTTATGTTATGTATGTACAGTAAGTTATTTGCAGCAAAGTACTCTCATGTGAGAGAGCATAGTCACTCGGTAAATATTGACACTCACATGCACTCTCAGATCTGACACAATTGGCTGTTGTTGTGCTGAGCTGAGCAGGGCTGGCATGGCTGGCATGGCTGGGAGTATTTCTCTGCATCTGAGAAACCTCAGAGTCCATGCTGGGAGATTTGCTTTAAGAGGCTTAGCCCCTACCTGTTAGTTCTTGTTACGTCAAGTTCAGACTGTTGGGCTATTGCATGTGTTCTGGTAGTGTGACCAGATTGCTGGGGACTCCACTACACAGGGGCAGAAATAGTAAATACTGGTAATTCTGGCAATATGGTCTTGAAGTCACACTAATCAAAATGAATAGGTCCTCATTCTGGCACTACATTTTATAATAAAATATACTCTGCAGCCATCTACGTGAGGGTTTAGGTTTCACTGGATTACATATAAGGTAACTTAATTGAACTGTTATGTGTTATGCTATGATGGCAGTGACCTACAGTAAATAAGGCAGTCATTAAGAATATACCTAGTCCTAGACTCAGCATAGACAACCTGTAATGAATCTCCTGAACACTGATGAATATTGCATTTTTCTTGTTGACTGTATTTTTTTAAAGATAGAAAGAGCCATACATTAAAGCACTGACTCACTCCAAAGCTGCAACTGCATTCCCCATGTTGGTTTTAGGTTGTGGTGTTTATTGACCGGCCATTAAAAACCCATTAGCGGCTATAGATCTTCTGCTAAGTATAGCCCCAGTAGAAACACGACACATCAGCATTAGCAGTAGCAGCAGTGGTAGCTCATTGCAGAGTTAATTTCATAGTCTGGTCAGTGTGCATTCAGGATGAATTACAAAATGCTTTTGTAACCAGGCTGTGGCAGGGAGAGTTCTCCAGGTCTCTGGATTATCATGGCTAATCCCTCAATCTGACATAGCAAGCTCATAGGCAGTGGACAACAGTATTTACTCTGTATAACTAACTCCAGGCTTCACTGCGTGCTAAGGACAGGGCTTTTCACCCATTGCCATTACAGGTTTGTACCATCAACATTTTAGATAAGTTGGTCCTCTTCACATACAACTGAGATTTGTTTGTGCGTCGAATTCTTATCGAATATGTTGCATTTAATGTCTGATATGGAGTCTGGAGAGTTACAGTATGATGGCAGAAAGGACTCAAAGACACATTACCCTAATTTTTTAGTTACTCTAAGTGAACACAACAAACGACACTATGAGAATTTATTGTTCGTTTAGTGTACTAATAAATCTGTGTGATATGTGCGTGGATTGTCAGTGTTGGTGGTTTTGTGTAGTGTGTGCTATGCTGTGGTGTTTGGTGTTCATGTTTGTTCATGTTGAGTCCAGAGGCACCTGGTTTTTGTGAGGTTGTTGCCATCTGTTCTTCATGTCTCCAGTAATCTCCACACCAGTCAAAGCTTCAGAAATCAAGCTGTAGTCTGCCTAAAGTGCTATATCTAACAAACCGCTTTTTTTGTGCTCTTGTCCCCTTACAAAAACACACTCCTGCATTTCATTCAACCATCATCTTGCCCTCCTGTCGTCTGTCTCTTTCTCTACCATTTTGCCTCTCTCCACTCTCTTCATTCTTCTCTCCTTCCAATCTTTGCTGCTTTGCTGCCCTGCTGCCCAACCCGGCCGCTTATCACGCCTCCCATTGGTTGTGCTCCTCTGGCCCTGCGATGACTGTGTCCTTTACCAGAGTATCACCTGTGTCCTCGCTCAGCCTCTGCCAGTCCCCTGCACCCACCGCGTGGACCTGTGCGCAGTCGCAGCATTGACCGACAGAAGAGCGGCATGACCACCTCTGTGTCGGCCGATGGAGCCCTCGACCCTTCGATGGTGAGAATACCTTGTTACGTTCAAGCTACTAACACCCAAATATGGGAAATGGCAAGGATGTAGAATGATAAAACCCAACAATATATTAAATATTCATTAACACTTACTCTATAAAAGCAACTTTTAAGAAGGGATTTGAAAGACGCCAGTGATGTAGCTTGTCTAATGTTGGTAGACAGAGTGTTCTACTGTCTGGGTCCTCCACATGATAGGAAGGGAAAGTTATTGATAACGTTCTCATTTAGTGGTCACTCACACTACTTTTGCATTATTTATCTGAGTTGGATGCCCAAATGTCAGTGTTGTATGGAAAACCCTGTTGTAACATGACATCTTTTAGACTTTAGCTGTCAACAGTAGAGGTGTGACAAGACGATGTTGGGTTCACAAGATCGAGACAAGATTTTAAAACTATTTTTAAAAAATCTCCAATGCTGAATTATATGAAAATTTTGAGCATTAAACTCTTAATGTCTTGCATTCTAGTGATTTTTTTATTTTTTTTTCCTGCACCAATTTATGGTGGAAATGTTTTTATGTACGTAAAGGGAAACACAAAATTCAAGTGGCAGGTGACAATTCAAAATATAATGCAGTAAACTTCTCAGGCATTATGTATTGCTTTCAGATATGTTTTCTCCTGTAGATTATTTTCTCATGTAATATCATCCCTGCTGAGTCAGCACACCTGCAGGGACAATTTAGTCTTCCCTCCTCTTTTGTATCTTTTTTTTGTGGGAGTAATCTCTTGAAATTTGCATGTGGCAATATTTTTACCTCAATGATAAATTAATTGATTTGAACCTGCACTTAATAGCTCCTTCGTTTCAGCAGGTTTTCTGCTCATGTCCAAAACGTTCTGCACATTCAAAATCTCTCCCACATGTCTGTGTTCTCTGACAAAAAGTCTACCTGCCCTATATTCTGCTGTACATTATGTTGTTGCTCCGCTAGTAGTATCCCCTTCAGATACTTCAGACAGACACAACTTGGGACTGCATGTTAGGATGAGACAAGGAGGTGCAAACCGAAACTAGCCAACAACACTTCTGATCAGCCAGAAATCTCACCACAAATCCACACAAATGTTAACTTTAGATGAAGTGCAGTTCACAGCCCCAAACAGAGTGAGTTTGCGCTTCAGTTTTTAGATGTTTATATTGCAAAACTCTACCAGTTAGTTACCACTCTGTTACAACCGTCTGGACTCACAGCGCCAGAGCTGGTTCACTTGATTACCATCAGGGCGTACACCGGTGTCACATCAGCTGGGTACAGCTGATTCTCTCTGCCTGTTGACCATATCAGTTTTACATTTGTTTTTCACTGCTTGAGAAAATTGATGTGTGGCGTGACAGCATGTGAAAAATGTAAATTGCGTGAGTCTCGCGAGAAAGCTTTGGTTTAAACGTTTTGATCTCTCAAGATCTCATCAAACCCATACTCAACAGTGATCTCTCAATTTGATAATTTTACTAATTAATTTATTATAAAACTGTTCAGAAGGATAATGCTGAATTATTTTACAACCCTGTGTCAGTCACTCAGTTGCATTTACTGATTAAATATCCTGGATGCAGCGTTGTGGATGGTATCTCTAATCTTATATATGTTCAAGTTATAGAGTGGATAAATTTAAGTAAGTACATGTACACATGCGCTGTGGTTTTTGAAACTGTTGGAAAAAATCTGTATACAGTTTAGAGAATATTACACAGTACAAAGTGATTGCTGGAAAATAATATACTTATGCCTTTTATTTACCAACAATAGTATGCTTTTATTTCCAGGGGAAAGTCATTGAATTGGACTTGGAAAATTTGAACTGTCGATAAAAACATTTTAGTAGTTAACACATGATTTGATTGTTGGTAGCACAGGAAGAGAGGGATACTTTTTCCAGAAGCTGCTTGGAAACCAGAATGAAGCTGAAGGCACACAGGTGGCTTAAATAAAGTATATCATATCTTATCTTATCTTATCTTAAGTAGTGACAAAAAATATATGCTTTCCTACATTGAAACATGATTGCTCAGAGAAATAAGTGGCTGTCACCGAAGACTGATTTTGCATATCCGGCTGCATTTGTCTGTCAAAGTACTTCTGCAGGATGCTAACCATAGGGAAATGCTATTGCTCCTGCTGTTCTTTGACCTTTGCTGGTCACTCATAATATGAACGTGTTCATACATTGCTAAAATTGTATCCTTCTTACCGCTTCTGATGTCTGACATTTTCTTACTTGATGACCTGTAGGGCCTCTCTCTCATAACCTGCCTGTCCTCCTCCTCTGTGGCTATGAGAGGCCTCATTGTCATAGCATGAGACAAAAAGATCCACAGCAGTCAAATTAATGGCACATTGTGCCATGCAAAGCAGGCCCCACCCCAGACGGGGGAGCCTAATATCAAAAACCTTTTGACTTTACTTACCATTTCACTGTCTTCTCTCCTCCGCGTGCACTGATTAGTGTGGAGATCATTGAAATTCAGCCTCTCACTTAAGTGTTGCCAATAAATTGTGTCTTTCAAGTCAGCTGAGTTAGGCCGTCTGCTTAGAGTGAGGACATTTCTTTTAACAAATTACCAAAAGGCATATTAGAAACAATATTAATGATGCAAAACTATTTGTTTTCTGTAAGCTTCCTTGTATCCATTCTTTGCTTATGAAATGATATTATGTGGGGTTTAGGGTTGTTATTAGAAGGCTGTTACTGTTGTTTGTCTTTGAGATCACTTCTGGACCTGCATGCAAAGAAAGTGTGTCTGTATACAGCTCTATACTGCTCCATTGTTATATTGACATAAATAGGAAATTAATCCTTTTGTCCTTGTTATTTACTGTTCTGCTTTTCCTTGTCATTCATAAAAGCAATTTCTTACATTAAGGCGTACAGTTCATTGTATCTAAGTTTTGCTTCCTTGGCATTCGGCACTGAAAGCTTGGGTTGGGTCTGTACTGTATATTTGTGTCCGTTGGAGTGTCACATAGTTGACCTTGCTGTGCCCTCTTTCATCAGGTTTACAGTGCAAAAAGTAGCACATGGGCATTAAAAATACATGAATTAAAACCTGATCCACAGCCTCCTTAAACCAACTTTGCGTCACTGTTTGAAATGCCATTGAAACAAAAAGAGGCAAAGGCAGACTTAATAGTTAAATGGTTAATTTTAGTTAGTTACTCTATTTGGTCCAAATGTAAATGAGACCCCGGACCCTTTTGGGGGTCCTAAGATCAACGTTAGGGGTCACAAGAGTATTAATGGGATATTAGAAAAACGTTTTTGCCCTTTTCTTCTATACTTTCACCTCTTTGAGAACTCTAACTGATCCTTTTTTTGATGTCATGTTACTTAGTAAGATGATTTACAACTGTCTGTTGTTTATAACACAATATTTAAATGAATAGTGTCAAGTAACAGAGTTTGTATGGATTACATATGAGTTCTTCACATGATCCCCTTTCAGTGTTAGTCATGAATTACCTTCCCTTCTGTTACATCTCTGTGGAACTACAGAAGGACAAGCAGTTAACATCACCTGGAGGGCAACGTCCCGCATCCCCATCCACTACACTGGGGCGCAACCGTTCACCATCTCCAGCCCCCAGTTCCACCCCAAAGAGGACCCCCTCCCCAGCAGCAGCCAAGTAAGACTACAAGCGTAGTCTCCAAAACAGCTTTAGTGATATTTGACTTAAAGTTTTAAAGAGGGTTTGAATGCAGCCTGTCATTTAGATTTCATTATGAAACACAAATGGACACAACTCCCACTTTCTTCTTACAGGCAAAGTTCCAAGACACGCCCACCCTCACCTGGTGCAATGAAACAACGTCCCCCATCCCCCCAGCCTAAACCTCCACCTATCCAGAAACCAGCTCTCACTCCAACAGGGCCCCCCACCTTGCGAAAGAGGGACTCCAAGTCCAAGGATCTGTGTCCTGTCCAGGCGGTGTCTCCACAGTCCTCTGATTCCAGCAAGACCAAAGAGAAAGATGGTGAGCAATTCTCAGTGAGAAGAAAACAGTCTACAACATAAATTTTTTTATTGTACTTCATAAAAATATATGAGGTCTTTCATATTAGTACAAAACAAGTAATACACGTCTATATAAAGGCAGAATTGATAACCTTGGTCAGCTGACAGATTTTAATTAGTCAGTACTAATATTTGCAAAGACTGATCGTTATTCTGGCAACCAGGATGTTTGCACTGGTGCAGCCAGACAGGCTGGGAAGTGTCCCAGCCAGACAAGTAGAAATCTTTTTCATTATGACTAAATAAATATACTGATGTTCTTAGCCATGCAGGTCCAAGCCTACGCATACTCCCAAAAAAGATTAAAGTAATTATTTAGTTCTCTCTGGTATTTTACTGAAGTACATCTTTTTCCAGATAATTATCTATGAATAATGCAGTGTCCCCTTAATCTGTTACAAGTGGAGATTGTTCCTTAACAGATGCTTCTTGCTGGTCATCATTCATTGTCCAGACACTTGTTACATTTACACTTAACCTTATACATACTGATCTCAAGGGAATGTAAAAGAAGGAAATAAAAAGGCAAGATTGTAAATCAAACTGTTAAAGCTGTGAAAATATATAAGAATATTGTTCTAATTTTATTATTATCTCCTTTTTTTTTTTAGTAATTTTAGCTAAATTATCCACTTGCGTGGGAATCAGAATAATGGAGCTCTCCTTGTTTGCTTTTGAACTCTCGCTATGTCTCACAGCAGCACCTTGACTTTTAGCAGAAGAAAAACTTGTGTGATCGTGGCTTTAATTATGATCTGTTTAAATAGACAGATCATATACAGAGGTGTGTGTGTGTGTGTGTGTGTGTGTGTGTGCGCGCTTGTGTGCTGCAAACTGAGGTGGCAAGCCCAGTTTCCAATAAATCTCAGTGCCGCAGGAGACCTATTAAGTTCCAGCTGGAGTTGCATCCTGTTTCAGATCTGGGGGTATTTCTGCTGCCACCTTCTGCAGAGGATCATTCGCTGCAAGATAAACTGGCTTAGTAATGGTTTAATGCTACATGCAACAGAGCAAGGACTGTTATCCACTGTGCATCAGAAAGATGTGAAAACAATTGTTGCAGGTGACACAGTTAAGGTATGCCCATGTATGTTTAGGAGTGTATGAAAAGGCAAAATACTGTATCGCTGTATTTGTAATTTGATATCATCAGATCAATTTTAAACATGATATAGCATATTTTTCTGGGAAATCGATTTAAGCTTTATAAGTATAAAATAACCAGAGAGGAATGTCTGTTTTTTTTATTATCATACAAATCAAATATCTGACTTTAATTTAAAATCTGATAGAAATCACAATATTTTCACACAGCAGTTCTGCTCAGCAATTGGCCTAATACACACCGATATATTAATGGTTAATGCTAAGATAGAAATGGAATGCCAAAACTACTGACACATTTATTTTTATCTAATGGTATGTATTCATGTTTATGTATATCATATTGCTCAACCCCATGTACTGTATGTGTATTCCCACAGAGAAAAATTGTTCTTTCATAGATGATCATGTGAAAGTTACTCCGTATCAGGCTGCTTTCTTCTCTATTCTGTTTCTGTCTTTCTCTGTCTCGGCTGGCCGCCTCCAACAATCTAGCTTTCTTTCTTGTCTCAGTCATCACTCATCCTCCAGTCACCAGCGTCCAGATGCTGTGGCTTCATGTCAGCACTACATTGAGAAATGGGTGACAGGGTGACCTAAAGGGCTAAACGTATGTTCTATATTTGTCTTTCCACCTACCAAACTCTAAAGCCTCGACGGGCACCAACTCTGCAGCAGAGGCAGCCAAGATCCTGGCGGAGAACCGCAGACTGATGCGAGAGCAGAAAGAGAAAGAGGAGCAGCTCAGGATACAGAGGGAGGAGGAGGAAAAGTAAGGTTTCTGGGATTGTTGGGCAAATATCTTGTTCCTGTCTCCCAAAAAGATTTTATTTTTTTTATTTTGTGAATGATTGTGATGCAACACATATGATATCTGCATGTGCCCATTAACAACAGTGTTGTCAAGGAAATTGTAGTTTTTATGATGTGAAACGAAAGCATGTAATGTAAGTAAGTTTGCATTGGTTTAAAAGTTTGCATACCATATACATGCATAAGAAAAATGGGTAATGTCACTAGTTTCAACCAATAAAACACTGCAGGTGTTTATTACATGGGCATTAAAAATACAATTAGCATTTTGTTTTAACCAGTAACACCTCTAGACTAAAAGTATCCATACTGCACTATTACCCCTACCTGCCACTTTATTTGTCAGCATGCTTTAAGCCATTTGCGGCCCTTTCTTTACCATCCCAGGGTGAGGAAGGAAGAAGAGAATCGTTTAGCGGAGGAGGCTCGACTGAAACGAGTGGAGGAGGAGAAGAAGCTTGCAGAGGAGAGGAAAATCAAAGAAGAGGAAGATGCGCGTCTGGCAGAGGAGGATCGGGTGAGACTGGCCGAAGAGGAGGCACTGAAACAGGCCGAGCTCCAGAAGGAACGCGAGGAGGCTGAGGCCAAGGCCCTGGAGGAGGCAGAGAGAGTCCGTCAAGAGAGAGACCGCATCATGCAGCAGAACCAGCAAGAACGAATGGAGAGGAAGAAGGTATGGATAGATTGATGGAGAAAATCTTCGTGTTTTGCTTTATTGCTTTATATTGATCACCATCGTTTGCTGCCCTACTGCCTGTCTCTGCAGATCAAATGTTTTTCTTAATTTGTGTTTAGATCCTAATAAAACTAATCAGTTACAAAAATCTGCTGTTTTTCCATTTCAGAGGATTGAAGAGATAATGAAGAGAACAAGAAAAGGGGAGCAAAATGACTTGAAGGTGAGCGCACAGTCATTCAGCGCGTATGGCTCAACCACCTGCACTGAGTGAGTGTTAACATGATGTTTGTGTCTCCTGAATAGAGAGAGGCAGAAGATGATGATAAGGAGGAGAATGAAGATGATGGGGACCAGATAAACTCTGAAACCATGAGTAAGCATTCTCATCCTCTAGCTTTCACATTGCTGGCAGTTTTAGGATGTCCAAGTGCATGAGGAGTCGCACATTACTGCGTTTTAAATTGGTCTGTCACTGAAAGTGATGTTTTCCCCTCTTTGTGTTTGTTTGCATATACTTTACATAAATTGCTTGCTTGCGTGATTTTGCATAATTCTCAATGTGACTTACGACTTGTCTCATCCAATTTTGCTTCCTCTGGTGATTTCATAGGCCAGACAGATGAGCTCCCCATAGAAGCTGACGCAGATGAGTGTGGTCTGTCTTCTGGTGAGCCGGTGGAACAGCGAGAGGCACCCCTGGGCAGTGTGAATGGAAAACTGGAGACAGACAACAAGGAGAATAACAATGGCATAAGCACAGATGAGACTCAGGCAGTAAGGTATGACTTTAGATGATGAAACCCACACGGAAACTGGCCTTTTTTTTTAATCAATTACCACAAAGATGACTTTTTTTGTGAATGATAGTGATACCTGCATGTACGATAATACAATTCTGTCATCATGCACTCACTTCTCCATCTCTTTCCAACCCCCCCCCACCTCCCCCTCTCCAGTCCAGCACCTAAGGGCCGCCACGTCGAGGGATCGGAGTTCCTGAATGAGCAGGACTCCACCAAGGTGGGATTGGTGTCAGGTCTTAACGGTAAATCCAACCAGTGGAGCTTTGAGGAACTCATTGACCTGAACGTCCACTCCAAGACTCGGCCCCTCATCGACGCAGAGGACTGTAACCAGGTCTTGATTAACTGTGACGGGAGCTCAGATGGGACCAGGGTCGCCTTCGAGGACAAGGGAACCCCCGTCAATGCCCTGCATTCCTCTAATCAACCCATAGAAGCCCTGTCAGGTGAGGAGTCAGTCACACTTAATCATCTATTGGGAATTTACACTCTTTGACATAGTCTTCTTTAAAGATAGACTGTAACTCTTTTCTCCTGTGTCTCTGTAGAGATTTGATGCTGCAGCCGCCGCTGAGAAGCCTCTTACTGTTACTTATTGTGTGCACTCGTAAAGGTCTTGTCCAGCAGAGCTCCTTTAAAAAAAAAAAAATCCTCTACCTGTTCCAAACAGCTTTCTGATCTTTCTCCTCCTCCTCTTCCAGAGGGAGGAGCACAAGGTGAAGCGGAAAGACCACCCCAAGTGCTACATTTGCACCCTAAATGATGAGGAAACAAATATTACAATATATGTAAACAAAAAAAGCGTTAGGCTTCAGGGAAGTTCCATATGTTCCTTCAACGTGCTTGCTTCAGGTCTCTTTCCTCTTCCTCTTGTGTTTAGTTCTTCTCCAGATTTTTTCTGTGTTGTGTCCAATGTTGATGATGTTTTTTAAGAGTTCTCTTTGTCAGGGGTGTATTGATGTAATTTATTAATTTTGGCTTCTGTGTTGTTGTAAGTATTATATGTTTAGTCTTTTTTTTTTCTTTTTCTTTTTGTTTCTCTTGTATGAGAAAATTCCAGGACACATGCACATTAGGCTGTTTGAACTGAATATAAGATTAATATTGTGAGTTAATGGAAGGAACTTTAATACATTCTGTTCTGTCTGGGCTTTGGTGGGGATAGCGTCCCAGGTTTTTGCATGCGATTCATCTAAATTTACTTGACCGGCTGCTTTTTGTAGCATCCAGCAATATGGCCTTACCACTCCCCCCCCCCAACTTCTAATTCTTAACTGTGAATATACTAAATTGCTTGTTCTGAAGCTCACACACGCACACTTGAGCAATCATCCGTCATGTGCTTACACTTGAGGAGTTTATTCTGTATTCACACCACTTCACCTCACAGAGCTGTGTCCTTTCAGACCCATTTATTTTTGTACACAACAAGCACCTGTCTGAGCGTCTGTCACTGTTTATTCTTTGACCACCAGAGGGCTTCAGGAGCACCAACTCCAATTGTAACATTTGAAGCAGATCTACATTGCTGGTCATGACAACACTCTAGTGTATTCACATGTTAAGTGGGTTTGTTATTTTTTTACATATGTATATAGAATTTATGTTTACTAACAACATCATTGTAATTTACACCAGAAGAAGAGTTGCATCGAGTTTTAGTCTCATCTTGAGCTACAGTTTCAATAAGCGTAACTGTAACATACTACTAACAGGTGAAGTCCATTAGTTTAATTCATAGCTGCTTCTGAGCTTCTAAAGACGTTATGTGTTTGTTACTGAACTGAACATGAATGTACAGCTGTTCCGTCACGATGACCAGAGTTGCCCCAAATCAGGCTTTCAATTATCTGGTTTTAACTTAAGCTGTACCAACACATCCACTAACACTTTTCCATCTGTCCTTCTGTCGGTGTGGCTCTTTCATTAATTACATTTATTTCTCATTAACCTTTTGAAAATTCCCAACACATTAGCTGCTACATCAGACAAAAATACATTTCAACTATTTTGTATAAACTAAAATTTGGCGTTTTTTGTTTATATATGAAAATACATTTCTACATATATTTAAGTGTTATTGTATTGTGTATAAATCAGTATTAGGCAAATGAAGCCATGTTTAGGATGGGGTGGTGTCAGGATGTGGATAATCTGCATATGTGACTGTGCTATAACCTAGGTTTCTGTTTGACTCGTGCCCTATGACCAGGTAGTCAGGTCACATTTGGGCAGCCTTGAAACCCAAAATTTACATAAAACCCTCTGCAAAGCATGGGGCCAAGTGGGGACCCACTATTTGTTTCTCAAAATATGGTGTGTGCATTTGTGTGTATGTTCGAGACACATATCCCCAAGCACTTATTCTAAATATGGGCTCAAGTTGACATTTTGATGGCAAGCAGAGTTGTTACAGCCTTAAACAACATGTCTGACCCATGATAATGGCTGTGCCTCTTTATGATGCTTTAATGTCGTTAAAATATGTTTTAGATTATGTCAAAAGATGTGTGGATGTTTTTGGTTAGTTACGGTTGGTTTATCAGCTCAGGTCGCAAATATTCTACTTTGTAATATGAGGCAGGGCACGTCCTCCAAACAGAAAATGACGTGGGTCAGACATGTTGTTTTCTGTCTCTTCTGGATTTATAAAATGTTTTAAACTCTTGAATTTCCCTATGCTTGAATAGTCCAAGCACGAGGTTTGGGGACCTTGATTTTTGCCTTGCTGTCTGCTGGATTTCGCACCCTCTTGCTAACTCAAATGTCTTTGTACATAAAGACTGGGGGCTTTTAGATCTTAGCTTTGATTAATGAGCTCAAAGAATGTAACAGACTCCATAAACCGTCCTTCATTATTTACCATGTCTCGCAGAGCTGCCTCCTTTTAGCTTTCATACATTATTCATCTTAAAAACATGACTCAGAAATTACTCGCTATGTTTAAACTCACTGGTTTACTGAGGAGAGGCTTTATTGTACAGATTCGAAAGAGAGTTGTGTGATATTCTGGAAGACAGTCATTTGTTTGTTCCTTCACAGATATTTAGAAGTCTCATTCATAACCCAAAACCTGCTTATACCCAAACTCCCCACAAACCTTTCCTACTCCTTTCCCCACTCATGAGTAGCACCTGTTGTGGGGCTGTTGTAGCTGCTGCTCGAACAGATACTGTATCTATTCCCGGTCCTGCTGCATCTTTGAGGGCTTGAGTACAGAGCTGACTGCTCTTAGTCCTTAACGTTGTCTATAACAATAGGATAGAATGGTGCCTTAGATTTGAGATTTAGTATTTTTATTGAATAACAGTTAACTATGAAAGCTTGTCCTTACCTCGGCCTCGACAATCAGTCCATACAACCAGGGCAACTTTGTGAATATGAATATTTCTCTGGAAGATTTACAAACCTAACAGCGCCCTGTCCACAGATAAAATTTGTACTGTAAATATATCTAAAGTGTACTGAGATGATACAAACTGTTAAAACAATAAAGTCTTGCAAAAATAGTCCTTTGCCATGTTTTTAATTGCTTGCTGAAATGAGACTTCACATCACTTCCTCCTTTATTCTTGTTTTACATTTAACTTCACTCAGAAAGCCTTGAATACATGTTTATATTTCAGCATCAATCTCATAGACTTGATGTGTATTTGAAATTCACTCAACATATATTTTTAAATTCTCATAATCCATTCAAATATTCAGAGGCGTAAACGATTATTAATCAAAGCTGGTATGTATGAGCCGCAGAATGCATGGGAAAAGCATATTCACTCTGAAAGATTCCAGTAAGGCACTGAAAAGGGTTTGTCTTATAAAGCTGCTCTGGATTAGATTAGACTAATAGTGCATATATATCACAATCCCAGAATTCTGCCGCCATGTTAGTATCCAATCCTGACACTGGAACAAGCTACAATGTATATGTAGATAAATGATTCAAGCTAGTGCATATTTAGTTGAAATAGCCTCTACTCTGTCAACCTCGTGAAGCGACGTTTAACCCAAATTGACTGTTTAGACATTTTTATGTTACTTCAGAAACAGAATAACATTTCTGTTCTGTTATCAATTCACACTCAGAAAACTCCCAAACGTATAATTTTATGAGAAGTTGTGTTTTGCAGATTAACAGCCAACTTTGGTGTAATTCCACTGTAAACAGTGAGCCTCTGCACAGCTGATTGTGCAGCTCACACCTTCTTGGCACAGTCGGGGCAGTAGATGTGATCTCCACTGATGACAAAGCGCTTGTTGGCCAGCGAGAGGGAGCACTTCTTGCAGTTGAAGCAGTACTCATGCCAGGAGTATCCCTCGTAGTTCACCACATTGGTGCCGTGGCCAAACCCTGCGGAGACAGAGACGGAAGGACGTCTGCCAGTCAGCAACGCTAGACAGGTAATGATGCTTCCAGATAACAGAAGAAAACGCAGCGTTCCTAACATTCAGCATAGATTGGTCTTAAATTCTGAAAATATTTAGATCTCAGATCATAAATTAACGCTTCTTGTTAACGCTCCCTTACTGGAATATTTAAACAAGGAAGTTTGAATTCCAGTGTGTTGACACAGGTATGGTATGTTAAATTGGTTTCAAATATACTTTTACCTCAGTTCAGTTTTTGTCCATCAGATTATAAAATGAGTGAGGAAAAAAATCAGAAACACTTTATTCTACAGGTCTGTAACATCCTAATACTTTTCTAAGAACTTTCTTGAAAATGAGTAATTTGGTTGTAATTATGTGGAAAATAGGTTTCCTTTCAAGAAACATTCTCAGTTTAAACCCAATTAAGAATCCGTTTATTAGTCATGTATTAGAAACGGCATGCTGATATATGTTAGATTGAATTTTAACACCCACAAGAAGAAAGGAAAACAACAAAATTGAAAAACTCTGTTTTCCATTAATGCCACCATGCATTCTGAGTGCATTCAAGACAATAACAGTGTGTGTTTGCCACAGAAAGCCTACCAACAAGAACATGTGTTTATGCTGCCCTGACCTGTGATTGGGTTCTTGCATCCATGGCACTTCTTGGCCACATCACTCTTGAAGCAGTCCACGCAATAAACATTGTTCTCATGGGAAGTGAAGCGAGTCCCCGCCAGAGTTTTGCGGCAGGTGTGGCACACGAAACACTCAGAGTGCCAGGGCTGATCCTGGTAGCTGATCCCTCCAGAGGTGATGGGCTTAGACAGAGGAACACTTTGATCATGATCTCAAACACGGCAGGGCTGGAATACCTCTTATTCTGAATGAACGTGGGTAAGTGAGCTGCTTGTACCACAGTTTGATTTTGAATAGACAGTACAATACACTGTAGGTAAGTAAGTAAGTAAAATTTATTTATATAGGTGATATATTAGCCCTTCCAGACTACCAACCTGATGAATATTTTTACAACCACTAAAACATGCACATTGATACAATCGGTGCTTGTACCTGCTTGCAGTGGAAGCACTTCTTGGCAAACTTCTTGTCATGGCATGGGGCACAGTAGATATCATCGCCCTTGGTCAGGAAACTCTGTGTGCGGATTGGCTGCTTGCATTCAAAGCAGGTGAAGCATTCCTCGTGCCATACCTTGTTCTTGTACTCCACATTCTGGGATCCTAAAACACAAACGTAAAGTAGAACCAACCATCTGTGCTGAAGGTTGATGGAATTCAGCCTCTCAACATTTCCCCTTTTGTTTTCTAATAAGTCATGTTTTTTTAAACCATATATATTTTGTATCAGCTTGTTCCACCTCTTCATTTAAGCTCTGTCATGTGTCATGTGTATACTAAGTGACATATTACAATCTAAGTCTCCACCTTTCCATCAAATAGAAATATTCAACATGTTTTGTGCATAATTTGTGTTTTATTTTCTGGTAAACATTTTAATTTCTTTACATTTGGTAACTTTGGGATCTAGAATACTCCACTGCAGGCACACTATTAGTTTATAATGACTCATCAGCAGACTATGGCTTGTTGAGGGATCAATGGATACTAAGTGGCACAAATGAGGAAGCCAGCTAATCCAGGACCTCCAGGGTAACTGGTGTTAATAATCTCTATTTAAATTGCACTTGATTTACTTACACAATGCTTTATATATAGCAAAACAGAAGTCACATACAGCAAAAAAGTATTACAAAAAAGTAGATGGAATCAGAGGAAAGAAAAGATTATACAGATTTAGTAAACCTAAACTTCTCAGGGGCAGTAGTTGAATGTTAAGAAGCCTTGATGTCAGTACAATCTGCCTTTTAATTCTTTAAAGCCCCTTAAAAAGTGTTTCAAATGCTACTTATTTCTCTATAACATGAAATATTTGTGACTGTAAAAGCAACAATTAAAGTTAAACTTTAGAGAAAAACACCTTTATGTTTTAGTCATTAAGAAAATCCTGGTTCAAAACTCAGCTTATCTGCTTCATCAGGACTGTTCTGATAAGCAAAAAAGCTTCAATTATCACCAGATTTTGATTCAAATGTTGTTAAACCCGATGTGTGTATCACACACAGCCAACTGACCTTCAAACCAATAAGAGAAGCACAGATAAAAACACAATTACAGTCTCATGTGAAACAGCCAAATCTGCTCTAGCCTTGGCAGAAAAGTGTGTGCTCATGTAGAAACCTGGTTCCCAAGGCCTTTAAAAAAACTTTAAAGTATAATAGCAAACCCACCTGGCATGACCACCTTGTAGCAGCCCTGGCAACGATTGCCATCCTCCCTGGAGCCACACTTGCCACACATAATCTTGCCATCATCCCGGGCGCTGAACGGCTCGCTAGCCAGCGGCTTGTAGCACTTGGCACAGCGGAAACAGTCCTCATGCCAGTAGCGGTTCTTATGGTGCAGCTCCTGAACAGAGAGAGGAGGCGCAGGGGTGAGCAGAGGTGCCCTCACTAAGTCTTCATGCAGACTTCATTAAAGTGAAGTTTGTTTACTTATCATGTGGACTGAGGCTCAGGGCCAGAATGCAGAACAAGCCCATGTGGCAGGCATTAAAGCGGAGATGAGGTGAACTGGGGTGTGGTGAGCCATGAAGGTGTTATGGGAAATGCAATATAAAATATTTAAGCCTCATTAGTAGTAATGACACATCTTCTTCACACATTTTAACTGCCTGTGACTGAGTGGTGTGAGAGTATTTTGGGAGCAGAGACCACTGCTGGATGACAGACAAGTTATTTAACAGCTTGAGACTGAAAGCTCTCTGAATAGATAAGAGATGACTGAAGAAAAGACACTCACACATTGACACATCTTCACTTTCTATCTTTCACTTACTCTCTCGTTTTTTGTGTTTATGTTAAGGTAGAAAAATTCACAGAAGACAATTTGACATGTTACAGTAGGAAAAGCGAGGTTTGTTGAGTTCCAGGTGTTTTATTAATCTAAAACCTGAAAAAGATATCTGTGTCCCACAAACACATCATTAGATGTCATGTAATGGGACATCACTGTATTTACTCTAATGTTGTTCTTAGAATCTGTAGGAATTCACAGAAACAAAAAATAAACATGGAGTTACTTATATCATGACTTCTAGCGAAGTTAATTGTTGTGTGGTTAGTTGCTGTCCAATAAAAACCATGCATCTCCAAATTTAGTTACTTTAAAACTGAAGTGTTAAGTGTTCCTTTAAGGGTTAAAATAAATAAACAATTTAAAAATCCATTGTCTGAAAAATGCATAATCAAAAAGCTTAAAACTGGGTTGTCATGCATTCAATTAATTTAAAGTACAAAAGTTCAAAATGTGCTTAAAGTACCAAAAGTAGAAGTACTCATTATGCAGAAAGATCCATTTTAAAATAATTTCTTTCATATTATTGGTATTATCACATTGATAGATTATTGTACATATCACTTAAATGTTATGCGGGCGGCATGTTGGTCCAGTGGTTAGCAAAGCAAGAAGGTTGTGGGTTCAAACCCCGGATTCCCCGGCCTTTCTGTGTGGAGTTTGCATGTTCTCCCCGTGTCTGCGTGGGTTCTCTACTCCCACCAGCCAAAGACATGCGGACTAGGTTGATTGGTGACCCTAAATTGTCCTTAGGTGTGTGCGTGAGCGTGAGTGGTTGTTCGTCTATGTGTGGCCCTGCGATGGACTGGCGACCTGTCCAGGGTGTACCCCGCCTTGCGCCCGATGTCAGCTGGGATTGGCTCCAGCCCCCCTCCCCGAGACCCTGTACGCAGGATAAGCGGTTGACGATGGATGGACTTAAATGTTATAGCTGGTAAAGGTAGGACTATTTTTTATTACTTTATACACTGCTGGGTTACTTAATCTATAGTATTAAATTATATTCTATTTGTAGATAATATTTTGTATTAATTTTCTGAATCTATCTCTAAAGTAACTACAGTTGTAACAACATTTATCAAAGATATGTAGTGGAGTTAAAAGTGCAATATTTCCCTCTAGAATGTATTAGAATGTTTGTTGTTTATTTTTACGCTTTTGTACTCTTTCATTTTTTATTTCGCTCAGACAAACTGTGT